TTTTTTTTTTTGGTAGAAAGTGTGTCATTTCTCTAGTTCATCGACATGTGATTTTGTTGTAGAGTCTCCTGACTTTGCTGTACTTTTTTAATATGCTCTTGTAATCTTGGATCAGATCAAGATTCTGTGAGATTGTTGGCTGTGGAGGGCTGTGCTGCTCTAGGCAAACTATTGGAGCCACAAGATTGTGTTGCACATATTCTACCGGTTATTGTGAACTTCTCCCAGGTATGTGATAGGAACTAACTAACTAACTATATATATATATATGTATATATATATATATGTATATATATATATATGTATATATATATATGTATATATATATATATATATATATATATATATATATTGTTTTTTATTGACAAATGTTAGTTGTTAGTTTTAGTTAGTAGGAGGAGTTGAATCGACACTCTCATTCTAAACTAACCTTGTATCTCCCAAATGTTAATGGAGGAGCTGAATCTAAAACCTCTCCCATCTTTCCTTCTAACTTTTATCACTCAAAACTCTATATGTGTATGTGACTTTTTCGTTTCCAAAGATATTCTCTACATATAAAGGATGAAAAAAAAGAAGTCATTGTAAATTCTTTGGATCAATAAGATCTTCATCATCTTGAATTTATCTACCTTAATTGGAGATCCTTAAATGTTCTTCATATAGCATTAATTACATATCTTTCTTTTTTAAATAACATTGTGATATATGACATAATTTATTAGGTTTACGTCAAATATCAAAACATATGATCTTATACAACTACTAGTCCTTGTGGACTTAGCAAATTACTAAGTTAGAGAATTTATTGTGGTAGAACATCTTTAGACACATTATTTAAGTATCTCTGATATAAATAAGTCATCATGAGATTTTCTTGTAATAATGAAGAAACAAACATTTTTTCTATTAAAAAAATAAGTATTTATAATGTTGAGATGTCATATATCGCAATCGAGATCAAACGAAATATTGAAACAAACTTAAAAAGGTTAAAGAGTCATCACCATAGTTTTTATTAAACAAAACTACAGAATTACCTTTTAAAAAATAATTATGATCCTTAAAACCAAATTTGAGATGGATGGTCAATTATATGTAAGAAAAATATTAACACCTATGTTCGTCCTCGGACAATTACCTTTAACTAATGTGCACATGATAATTTTCCTAAAATCAAACAAAGAAATATGTAAAAGGTTACCCGAAAAGTATTTATAAGAACCCAACAAGAATTTACCTTAACACTACATTTTTCCATTCACAACAAAAAGTTAGCATTATCTAGTTCTCTGTAAAAAGATATATGAGAGTCGGTATTTTAGTTTTAAAGTTTTAATATTTTTTATATTTTTATTGATGTTTATACTAGATACAGTAACAATTCACAGAACGAGAAAAGAAAAGAGGATAAGTTGTAATGTCTAAATCTTATTTTTAAAAGAAATTTAATTACAAGTTTTATTACATTAGAGCGTTTTTTTTTAAATAACTAAATATTGAATATATGATATACATGTCATCATTCAAATGTTTAAGATAACTTTTAAAATGACGTGCTTATTTATATATGTTTGTGTGTATTAGAAAAATATTTAAATGTATAATATCTAAATCATCTATAAAATATTAATTACTAAATATAAGATGACACATATGTTATACATATATTATTAAACTTACTTTCCATTTTATATATATAAAAACGTGTATTAAATGTTAATGTAAGAAAAAAATATTTAATCATACTATTGATAATAAAAAAATTATATTATAATACTATACATAAAAATAAAAACATGTCATAACCTTCACCAATGACTTATGGTCCAATATATTAACGTAATTGAAATATATAAGGAATAACATTAAAACATGAGCACACGCACACCATATGACCGCATCCTAATGTCATTTCCAAAAGAGAAAAAGAAGCAATGAAAGTGGCAGAGCACTGTCAACCTAAAAAGAAGGAAAGCTATGATCATTTTTATTATTTTTACATATATTTTAAATATGTACTGAAGGATTGCATGGACAAACAATTGCAGAGGCATTTTGAGTGAATAGTGAAACAAGGTATTTTTATCTAAGGACCTTTTCCACGAATGCCAACCATTCCCTTGCACCCTTGGTTAATCTCCCTGACATCTACTACAGGAAGAATGGGATTTAAACTCCATGATGATGAGTTGCAGTAGTAGAGATGACTAACTATCAATGGTTCAATTCAAGTTTAGGACTCCTGTCTTCCTTGCATCCTGAAATCGTATCAACAATTTCTCAATTCTTGTGATCATCATTCTTAGACTTATCAAACTTTCCTTTCAAGTTTCTTTGTTTTGTTTTCATTATCCAATTTTTAATTCATTTCATCAATTAACCCAAATTTACTCTCATTTTTTTTTTGTTGCAATGGTATCAGTTGTCTTTCCAGTTTCAGCCAAATGTTCCTTAATTCCTTTAATTATTCGTCACTTTTTTCTGCGATGAAGTTAACCCTAGCAGAACTTTTTAATTTGAGCAAGAAAAAAACATTCATTTCATGTATTTTGGTTAACAAAAGTAATCAATTTAAATTGAGGGCTCCGCTTACAGAATAAATATATTCTTTGTTGTTCTAATTGTACAGGAGAGCAGAAGATTAAGAACATTCCATTATCTGTCTAAACTAAACATAACGTTTTATACAAACTATCCAAACTTCTACTAGTAGGTTGAACCCTAATGTGTATAAGAATGACAATCAATTATCACAAGTATAAAATTACCTAATTAAAACTTATTAGAGTTGATAGCATTTTTAAAAAAAAAAAGTCTACTAAAGTCTACACAAATACAAAGTTGGGAGCGTTTTCAAAATATTAGGAAAGTCTATAAATTTCACGCACTCTGGGAAGTCATTTTAAAACATGTTAATACATGAACAGATACAATTTTCATATAATTATAAATTTTACACCGATTGCAACGTTGTTGATTAGATCATACCTAAGGAGACCAAGAAATGACCGCAATATGTTCCACGTTACAGTGCAATTGGCAGATCGTATCCTATGCAACAACAATGGGAACACTGAAAACTTGTAAGAACTTATTCCAAAATGCTGAAGGAAGGCAGAATGTAAAGCTATTACCTAAATTTCCATTTCATTACAAAATCACTAATCAGAAGTTGACAATCTAGTCAAGCCACCAATCACTACAGCACTATCACTTGCAGAAACACATTCATCCTCAACATATGGGATTGTTTTCCTCAGGGTCAGATCTATTGGAATACTCTCATTGCCTGTAAACCACAAACATAGGCTGTAGCAACTATTCAAACTATAAATAATAGTAGTGAAAATATGCCCTTCACAATTGTTGTAGCCATGATAGCCACAAATATGAAGGTGGCTGTATAATATGCAGGCATGCGATCAAGTGTGCAGCCGTGATAGAAATGCTGTGTTACTAGCAATAATGCATATATGTAATATTATCCTTATAGCATGAGAGTTAGTGTTACCTGCATCTATGCTGTCCTGTTCAATACAAACGGCAGCATAATGAGAACCAGCTAACTCCAGAAGTCCAAACTGCCAATTGCTAGACGGATTCTTCAGCTCATCAGAAGTCTCAACAGTAATATCATGTTCCTGTCAGCAGAGAAAATTGCTAATGGAAGAAAAAAGACGACAAATCTCCTTCGAAAATTTAATATGCTAATACTAAAGCAAGTCTTCATGGCAGTTGACTCCAAAGGAGAAATCAATATATCGTCAAATAATGTCACTAATTAGGAGCTCTTTATATCTCAAATTCAAACAAACTTTACAAGAGCGAGGCATACCTTAGAAATCATATGAGGTGGAGTATGGAAGTTTCCTTTCACATGGTCTCCTAATCGCACGGTGAAACTCTTAAAAGGTGAGGCTGAGAAGCCCTTCCCTAGTGCTTTTACATATGCCTCCTGTAAATGGAGATGTCTTTGTGAGTAACGGCTGGATAACACATTGAATTTCATCTTACAGCAAGTTATGTTGACTAACTATATATTATCTTTATAATTAACAGTTGTTTCAACATATAAGTTTCAAAGGAAATTGGTGAAAATAACTCTACATTTGACTTCTAGTTGAATACTTAGCATAAAAAAGACACTAGTAAACAAATCAAAATTGAAAAAGAAATTTTATGTATGTCTATAGGAGATAGCCATAGACATTTTTTAAATGGAGCTAACAAAACAGAACAAATTATATAGACAAATTTGAAATACATTATATTAACTTGCATCTTAACCAGCAATAAGTTTTAATAAAATATTTATGGTTTTACCTGACATCAATTAATGCAAGAATATGCTTTGCAGGTAATTCCAGTTTCATAATAATATGGAAATACATTACCATATCTTCAAAGCTAATGTAAGGTAGAACACAGCAATGCCCCATTACAATTCAAAAAACAAATAATTCTCCAAGAAAATTATTGATATGATGCCCATACAAATAAAGTATTTCATTTTTTTCAATATAATAGTTCCAACTTCAAACAGTCACATTTGTTTCTAACCAGACTCTTTATTCAATAGGAAACCTAACAGCATTAGTGAAATTCAATCCAGTTACTAACCTTTAGAGTCCATAATTTAATGAGCTCTTGAAGACGGAGTTCAGGGTCCACAATGTGAGTCAACATTTCTATTTCCAAAGGAGAAAAGAAGCGTTGTGCAAAGGCTAATGTATCATTCTTTAACCTCCTTTGCTTCTCTTCCACATCAATACCAATCTACAATGAGAATGACAAGTTAAACAAGTTCAAAGAAAATGGTCTTCAAGAAAAATGAATATGATAGAAAATGTCATTACACTAGAAGAGAACACAATGCCTATGATGGGCCTCAACATAATGGGCCTTCCTTGATACAACATTATTGGAAGAGAAAAAAAGATAGGGATAAAGTAGGCAGTAAGGAGGAGACAATGGTACTGCAGGATAATAACAAAATGATGTTGTTAGGAGATGGAGAGTTTACGAGAGAAGGAATAAAACATTAAATGCCTAACTGCATTAGTAGTTAGGAAGGGCGGGGTTATTGGCTGTATAAATAGCAAAGAAACAATTGTAGATGGTTGTTGATTGTTTTGATTGTAGTTCTAATAGGATTTGTCATCCTGAAGGGGGAGGTTAGGCTCTCTGTATTCTTTGTACATTGGATTCTTGCGGTGATAATACAAGAAGAGATTATTCATTCTTACTGTCTTGTTAGTCTGGTTGTGTTAGAGAGATTTTTACCTAGGTTTCTTGATAGGAAACCTAACAATTTGGTCCGACCTGCCGGATCCCAAATTGGGCGTGAGAACGAGTTATGGAGGGAACGACGGAGGGAAGACTGGAGGCGTTGGAGATTACGATGGAAGAGATGAAGGCTGAGTCCACCGCCGTACGACGGGACCTACAACAATTAATGCAGATGATGGGGGCGCAGACTAACAACCACAACGACAACTCTGATGGGAGTCAAACGTCCGTGAATGAAAATCTACGGAGGCGCGATGAGGAAACTGGAGGAAGAGGGGGTGGCGATCATCAAGGGGTGCAAAATAATTGGAGGAAGAGGGTGGACTTACCCACGTTCGAAGGGCTGGAACCTCACAGTTGGATCAATCGGGCTGAACGATTTTTCGATATCTAGAAGGTGGTGGAGGAAGATAAGGTGGAACTCGCGTACATCAGCATGGAGGGCAACGTGAGTTACTGGTTCAAGTTTTGGAAAGAAAAGGCCACGAATCGTTCCTGGGAGGGCCTTAAAGCAACCATGATCAGCTGATTTTGGAGTGGGTTTCGGGGGTTCGTTTTCGAACGACTGGCGACGTTGCGGCAAGAGGGAACCGTGGAAGATCACGTTCGCGAATTTGAGATGTTGGTGGGGCAAACCCGTGGGTATCGGAGGAGTAGGTTTTGGGTTATTTCCTCGCCGGATTGTGCGAGGACATCAAGGGGCAGGTTCGAATTCTTGATCCTCAGGAGCTGATGGTTGCGATGAGAATTGCGAGAGACGTGGAGGACGCAATGATCAGAGCGAGAGGGGGAAGTTGGAATGAGACCAAGAATTCGCAATCTTGGGGACGAGAGATCGGAGAACTAACAAGAAACGAGATCAGTCGCCCTAATCCGAGTCGACCGAGCGGGGCAGAAAGCGTAGGATCGGTGAGAAGAGAAGGAGTCACAACAGGTGCCAACACTAGACCGAACGGTATGGGCGGAATGAACGGAATGGGGGGACCGAATGGTATGGGCAGACCGAACAGTATGGGCGGGAGCGACAACAGAAGCTAAACGGTGAGGAACTTGCCTTATCCTGAGTTCCTGAAGAGAAAAGAAGAGGGGCAATGTTTTTGATGTGGGGGACCATTCGCGCCCAGTCACCAGTGTCTAGAAAGGAGCCTGCAGGTGGTACTCTTAGCAGAGGATGAAGAAGATAATGAAGAGAAGGATGTGCCACCACCCAAGCCTCCTGAATTGAATTGGAAGACATAGCTAGTGGGTTTCCTTCATACGGTAACACATTGAGGAAGGGGGCCATGAGATCAAGCTTCCCGCTTCCAACCTTGAGGACAAGGTTGTTCGGCAGCGGGGTGTAATGTTAGGAGATGGAGAGTTTACGAGAGAAGGAATAAAACATTAAATGCCTAACTGCCTTAGCAGTTAGGAAGGGCGGGGTTATTGGCTGTATAAATAGCAAATAAACAATTGTAGATGGTTGTTGATTGTAGTTCTAACATGATTTGTCATCATGAGGGGGGAGGTTAGGCTCTCTGTATTCTTTGTACATTGGATTCTTGCAGTGATAATACAAGAGGTTATTCATTCTTACTGTCTTGTTAGTCTAGTTGTGTTAGAGAAAGTTTTACCTAGGTGTCTTGATAGGAAACCTAACAAATGCATTGCGAAAGGAGAACAAAGAGTGATGCATTCCAAAGACAGAGTGGGTCACAGGGTGCAGTAACATTTTGTGATAAACTGCATTCCAAAGACAGAGAAGATGGATACAAAAATGGTGCTTAAAAGGAAGAACATTGAACTGGTACCAATGGTGGGAATATCAAGTATTGATGGTGATGTGCAGATATTCCAACAATCACTTTTTGGTCAATTTTAGATGGAACCTACATAGAATCCATACAAAGTGTTGATGGGATTAAAGCAAAGGGGCTTGATTATTGAGTATCAAGAGAAGTTTGAACCACTCCCTGCTTCACTGTGTTTCGTAGACGAAGGAATTCATGATCAAAGCTTAACAAAATGAATTGAAAGACGAAATCAAAGCAGAAGCAAGGATAACTGGTTCAAGCAACTTAACATAAGGGGATCTTTTTTTTAAAACTCCAAGGAGGATGGGCATGATAGAGTTTGACAAGAATCATCCATTCCTTTTTCAAAGACGACGAGCCGCCCACCTTCATTACCTAAGATGAAGAATTCTCACCCATGCTACGAGTCTGCGGTCAAGCGCAATCTGAGATCCCTCGTCGATAGACATGAACTAGGCAAGTCTGAATCCCTTTCTGTTTTGTTTTATCAGCTGATCTTACGAGCTTTCATAGAAAGCCTATTGCACATCATAATGGAGATGGCACAAAAGATTGAGATGGACCCTTGGTTAGAGAAGTTGGGCCCAACACTAATAAAACCCCATTGGGGGCGGGAGTAGGGAGTTTGGGCCCAAGAAGGGACAAGGCCTCAACCCTCTTACTGCTAGGGACAATGAATCTTAACTCGCCCATTAGTTGGAAGTCGGATTCAGACCCAAGGTAAAGGAGGAGGCAATTGGTAAGTGATGTGAGTTCCAATTAGAGAAGGTTGGGCTTTAAGAAATTGAAAGACTTGAGATTACTCAAAAGCTTGAGCAGTGCAGACTTGAGACATTACCTAATTGAGGTGCAGCAACACGAACAAGTCATAGAGATTAAGGGTGATGTAGCATTATCCCAGGCTGTGACATCATTAAAAACCACAAGAAAACGGTTGAGAAATGAGGCAGAAGATTACTATGTGGAATTGGGGATGATGAATATAGTTTGCATGGAGCTATCAACTCATATTCCGGATGGAACCCCAAAAGAATTAAAAGAACTATTAGAAAAATTGGGAGACATGGTTAACTTAAAGGCCCAACCCTATAAATTGAGATCATTTGAAAAAAGTGTGAATGAATAGTCCCAGTTTCTATGGGTTGTTCAAGGTTTTCTTACTTGTTGCTCCTTATAAACTTTTCTCACCTGAAATTGGGAATGAAAAACTTGTTGCTGTTTATAAACTTTTCTTACCTGAGACATCAAGGTTACATCCAATCGTTCATATCTCTCAACTCAAAAAGGCTCCTCCATCTAGTCAGCCAATTCGAGAACTTTCTACCTTTCCTAAGAAGGGAATTGGAATTGCAAGCCAAAGCTACAAATGTGGTAGCAGCTAGGAAGTTGTTAAATGGAAACTGCGAGGTACTTATACAGTGGGTGGGGTTCCCCCAATGAGGACGGCACTTCAAAGGAATTTAAATTGATTCAAACAGTTTTTCCTGATTTTCACCTTAAGGACAAGGTGCAGTTCAATTGTCCTCAACAAAAGGGGCCTCCTTCGAAACAATACTATCAAGGAGAAAAATAAACAGGGATAAAATGGAAAGTTAAGAGGAGAATATGGTTGTGCAGGATCATAACAAACTGCATACACGGCAAGAGGAGAGAGGAGGTAGGGATGTGAAAATTTGGGACAGAATTAATTTGGGATATTTTGGGGGCTGATGTTGCCACATAGCAGCTTCTAATTCTCTCTGGTTTAGATCTTATTTTTTGGCATTTTTTGTTTTTGCTCAGACTTGTAACCATGGGTTAACGTTAAAGTTTTACTTGAATTCAATAAAAGAATAGTTCCTTGAAGAAATTCTTTTACAAATAAACTACAGCTGTGAAATAAAATACTGAATACATACAGCTGAACCCACAGTTACTCCGCAAGCTATCAAAGACGAAGTGTGTGAGATATTAAAATGCAGTGGTGGGCGGCTCCAATCATCAGCATATGGCCAGTCCAGCTATTCAAATGTGCTACCATAAACCGTTAATATTTACACGAAAGCTCAATGAACAAGGCATATACCAATTATGCAAAAAGAAAGTGCAAAACATACAAAAGTTAATAAATTAATAATTCAAAAACACACCTCAGGCTTGCCATAATTGTTCTTCCTAAACATTAAAGATTTTGGATCAATTTGACAATTCGTCTGATCTAGCAGTAAACAATAATCATTAGATATTCAGTCATGATATAAAATTATCAAAACCAAATGAAGCAAAGCTGTAACAATATACTAAGTACAGATGTAACCATGACAGATAGTTTCATACAATTCAAGGTCCATGAAACAAGTAGGTACTAAGTGCAACTAATCCATTTATCTTAAAATTGTTATTAAGCTAAGGTTAGGAGTAAAATAATATAGTTGATTCCCAAATTTTTTTGGTGTATATAGTAGCTCATTCTGGACGAAACAGGCAACCAGCCAAAATAAGTGATAAATTGCCACTTGATAATTAGTAGCTATGGTGGCATATACCAGGTTATGAAACCACAATATTTTAGTCCATTAAACCCTATATAGTGACTGAAAATGTATATGACTTGCATAGATTGCAATATCATAGCTTGGTGATTGGTAAGCAATTCAAACAGTGTTAGAAAAATGAAAAAACGAAAAAGGTAGAAGAAAAACTAAGATATACGGAACCAGAATAATATAACTCACATCTTGCTAATGTGGTGCGAACTAATGCACGGGCCAGCAGAGCTCTTTTCCTTATCTGTTCCCCGCGCATGGTAATTATATTTTCTTTCTCACAAGGCGATAGAATTTCTAAATATTGGTTCAATAGGTTTGTGCTCTTGACCTCATCAGGTAAAACATACCAAAAATGAACTTCCCTGCATTAAAATAAAAATAGTTGGTCCCTAATACATTTAATAACATTTTACAAGATACATAAGCAACATAAGTCTTCACTAAAAACGCAAATGTAATCCACAACACTATCATCTTTAGCTAAATCTAAGAAACATAAATGTACTGTTACATATATACAAGGAGTCAAATAAAAATACTCAATTGGTTTATACCTTTGTGCAGGGAGTTGCACAGGGAGCNTAATTGTTCTTCCTAAACATTAAAGATTTTGGATCAATTTGACAATTCGTCTGATCTAGCAGTAAACAATAATCATTAGATATTCAGTCATGATATAAAATTATCAAAACCAAATGAAGCAAAGCTGTAACAATATACTAAGTACAGATGTAACCATGACAGATAGTTTCATACAATTCAAGGTCCATGAAACAAGTAGGTACTAAGTGCAACTAATCCATTTATCTTAAAATTGTTATTAAGCTAAGGTTAGGAGTAAAATAATATAGTTGATTCCCAAATTTTTTTGGTGTATATAGTAGCTCATTCTGGACGAAACAGGCAACCAGCCAAAATAAGTGATAAATTGCCACTTGATAATTAGTAGCTATGGTGGCATATACCAGGTTATGAAACCACAATATTTTAGTCCATTAAACCCTATATAGTGACTGAAAATGTATATGACTTGCATAGATTGCAATATCATAGCTTGGTGATTGGTAAGCAATTCAAACAGTGTTAGAAAAATGAAAAAACGAAAAAGGTAGAAGAAAAACTAAGATATACGGAACCAGAATAATATAACTCACATCTTGCTAATGTGGTGCGAACTAATGCACGGGCCAGCAGAGCTCTTTTCCTTATCTGTTCCCCGCGCATGGTAATTATATTTTCTTTCTCACAAGGCGATAGAATTTCTAAATATTGGTTCAATAGGTTTGTGCTCTTGACCTCATCAGGTAAAACATACCAAAAATGAACTTCCCTGCATTAAAATAAAAATAGTTGGTCCCTAATACATTTAATAACATTTTACAAGATACATAAGCAACATAAGTCTTCACTAAAAACGCAAATGTAATCCACAACACTATCATCTTTAGCTAAATTTAAGAAACATAAATGTACTGTTACATATATACAAGGAGTCAAATAAAAATACTCAATTGGTTTATACCTTTGTGCAGGGAGTTGCACAGGGAGCAAAGATGATGAAGCAGTGGCGAGACTCCTTCCCAAGCAATGTATATTCATCATCAGCAGTGCTTTGTCTCGCAATGAAGTCATGCACACAGAGGACCAAGAGTACCTAGTATTATTACATTGTATTCAAAATCAATTCTTTAGAAACGTATGTTTGTTTATCAAACTCGCGTGTTAACTCGTAAATTCGAGTTTACGTTCCATACCGATTGCCCGAGTTGACTCGGAAGAAAATTCGTTTCTTATGCAGGATTGGTAGGCTCGTTGTGAACTCCGTGAGCTCGGCCACACTCGAGAGCTTGCAATCGAGTTGGCGAGTCCAGAGGGGTTTTCTTTTTAACCCAAAACGACGTCATTGATCGCCGTTTCTTGTGCGGAAATTAAAAAAAAAAAAAAACTCACCGTGATTAGGCTCGCTATACTCCTCCACCTCGTGGATTAGGGTTCGCTGTTCTGGTCTCCGTTGGCTGCGCTGTGTCATTATCTTCTGTGCTGTGTCATTCTCTTCTCCGGCCACGCCAAACCCACCGTAGTTTCGCTATGTGGTGATGCCTCGTGCTCTGCTCTGTCGTCGTGCTTTCTGGTCGCGGTTCTCTCTGCTCGTAGCTCTCTCCGCTCGCGGTTCTTGTTGCGGTTCTCTCGGCTCGTGGTTGTGATATGCTCGATGGTGTTATGCTCTACGCTGCACGCGGTTCTTAAGCTATATGAAACAAATTTTCGTTAATTTTAATTGCTCTTTTTAAATTTTGTAATTGAAAATTAAAATTAGGTAACAATTAAAGGATCCAATTCTGAGAGCAATTCGAGAGTATCTTATCTTAACATTTCATGTCTGGTAATATTTATGTGAACCTATCCATTAATACTGTAAACTTATTTTAATTAATTATACTATTAAAATATTAAATTAGTATATTATTTGTATAGATTCCCTATAAACTCTTACGAATTTACTAGTTAAATTGATGATCTTATTGCATATAAGCTAATCCATCACATTTTTATTTTAGATAATGATACTTTGAGAACAATTTTTTACAACATTTTGACACAGTCACATGTCGCGTTGTCAATGGTCCATGTAGAAAAGAAAATAGAAAACGAAAATGATGTGGAAATGAAGGGTTGGAGGGGTTCAAGTGGCGAGTTTCATTTTGGGATTTCAAAAACAAAATATTACTTTGGGTTGGAGAGAACCCTAGAGAGAAGGAGCACCCATTAGAGTCTTCACAGTGAGCAAAACCGTCGTTTGACGGAGTTTTGACCATTCGTCGGACCAGTGTTGTTCTTCGAAGCACATTCCGCCGTTTGGAAGCATCGGCCACCGAAACCGCCGCCTTTCCACCGTTCCGCCGCCGTGGAATCGTTCCTTTCGCTAATCGTTTGTTGTTGTTTGGTGGGTTTTAGTTATATTATAATTTTTTTTACCATTCAGGGGTTCTTTTGTTTTAAGGGTCTTATTGAGATTTTTTTTAACCTTGTTAATGTAATGGAGGAACTTGGTCAACAGAGTGAAGCTTCTCATGAGTAAGGGATGGTAATCTTTTTTGTCTATTGGTATTGTGATGTAATGAGTATTTGATTCCTGGACGTGGGTCCTCTTGCTTGCCGCTGGTGAATTTTTCTAATGGATTGAAATTATGTGGCTAGAGATGTGTGGTGCTTTATGTTTGATCATGGAGTTTTATATATGTAAGTGGCGTGTAAAGTTTATTGTGAATGATTAGGCAAATATCTAATGTAGTATATAATTTGGATCATTATATTGTTTAAGTCTATGGATCATTGTGAAAAATAGTGCTTAGTAAAAAGTTCGTGCAATTGTGAGTAAGGATACAAATTTCAATGTTTAAGGTATATTTTGGAGGTAATTGAAGTGCAGTAACAATTTTACTCATTTTTGTTATAAACACCAGTATATATACCGAAGAGTCATGGTGATTAGACAAAAAATATGAAAATATCTAGATTATTTTATGATGTTCATTCGATGCTGGGATGGAATGTGTTCAGCAATCCTTGCATTGCTTTATGATGCAATATAATTGGTTATTTAAGTGGTTTAAGTCATGTAATATACTTCTTTGGGAGCTGATGTAAGAATTTATTGGTGCATTATTTATGGGTTTTTTTTTTCAAGTTTATGAGTCGTTGTTTAATTGATAAATTTTTAGATATTTGCTTTGAGAGTAAACGTATGCATATATGAAATTATGATGTAAGGTTTTATGGATTGAGTTTAAATCTATAATTGGTTGTTCCAGTAGTAAAAAAAATGTAGTAGTAATGGAGTAAATGATGATTTTTTAATTTATTTTTGAAGTACGGTGCAGATTGAAGAAATAGAAAATGTAATTGTGTTTTAAATATTGTATAAGCTATATTATGTAATATTAGTATAATGTAATTGTGTTTGGAAATTAAGAAAACAAAAGTGTGGGTTATGTATGGTGTAGGACTTTTTGTTTTAAGTCAATGTTGAGTATTGGTAAATAGTATATTATACTATATTATATATTATATTCGATACTTATTATTTTTTTTATGGTTCTTTTATATTATATAATAATATATTATATAACGTTTCTCAAATGGTATGTATTTAATGTTGATATGATAGCATTGTTTTTTTTTTATAAATACCATCTGTTTATTGTTTAATTGGTAAAATAATTGGTGTCATTTATTAAATATGATGTAATTTTTTTATTATAAGTTAACATAGAATTAAGCATTATTATTGTTCTGGTATTCATTGGACATTGGCTAAATAAGATTGACATTGACTAAATAAGATGATACAAGATTTTAGTTTGACGCAAGATACATTTCATTTGAGTAAGCTTAAGAATACATTTATTACATTAAAAATTTAGTGTGTAGTTTTAGATTTAGCTCTTTGATTAGTCATGGTTTTCTAGTTAAATACCTATTATGATGTATTACTTTTAATTCTGGAAAAGTGGTAGAAGTAACACTGGTACTTGTTCGGTGAAGGTCTTTGAGGATAGAGTCATGAGGGTGTATATTTGTCCGGTGAAGCTCCAAGAGGGTGGTGGAAAGTGTATACTTATCCAGTGAAGCTTTGAGAAAGTGGTGGGAAATGATATACTTGCCTGGTGAAGCTTTAAGAGAGTGGTGAGAAGTGGTGTACTTGCCAGTGAAGCCTTTTAGAGAGTAGTGAGAAATGTCGTTGTGTAACGGGGTGGTATAGTGCACCAGACTGGTAAAGTTCTTTAAGAGAGTGGTGGGGGATGATACTCAACCTTATGTTGTATGTGAGTAACCCAGTGGTGATTCAATATATAGTGAATGATTTCAAATAAATTAAGTTATGAGTATGTGAATGATCGAGTGAGCTTGTGTGTGAATCGGTTACTTTGATGCAAAATTGTGTAGTTATATGTTGGTGGCTTTGAATTTTGATAATGCGGTTGTTAATGATTTGATGTGAGGGCATGTGTCGGTATATGCAGATAGGCACTTTTTGGAAATTTTATTCTAAATTGATGTTTAATACTTATGTATGTTTATATGACTTGTTTCTATTAGCTCACCTTTGTATGTTGTGGTTCTGGTTTTCACCTACGATGATTGTACTTGTATGAGAGTGGATGTGTTACAGATGTAGCTAAAATGAAGTTGAGCAGCAAGATACATGGGAGAACTATGAGATTTTAATTTCAATGCAAATAGTTTTGTAATGAAATTCTATGAATGTGTTAGTTACATTTGATTTATGAAGTTTTCTAAATTTAGTTATAATAAATGGAAGTGTTTATTTAAATTGTATCTCACAATGGTATAGAGTTAAGTTTTAAAAAGTTGTTGTAAACCCGTGGCATCCTAAACTTTGAGGTGTTACACTTACCTATTGCAGGTACATGTTTTTTATGTAATTGTTAATGAAAGATAATGATTTGTTATGGTTTTTTTTATCAGTTTTGATGTGAATGATGTTTGATTTATATTTTGTAGATTTTGTTTTGTCACCATTTTGTGACATCAAACTCAACGTATAGTACCCGGGTAACAAAATTCTCAAGGTTATTGAAACTGTTTGATATCAATATTAGTGAGAAGTTCATCAGAAGTGCTTTGGCTAAGGGATCGGTGAGTAGTTGGTGATTTGAGGAATGTGTTGGTGCAATGTATTTTATATTTCATGTTTTATATAATGAAATTTGTTTATTTTTTGAGGTTGTTGTTGATGTTGGCATGTCGAAAGAAGAGCTTTGTTATGATATGGTGAAAGAATTTGTTCAAAATTATGGTATGCCATTTAACAAACAAAATAGAGGAGAGATAAGGAAAAAATAATGTATATCGAATGAAGGTTGTACCCCGAAGGTTGTTCAAAATTCGGGCGAATAGAACTCCATTTACTGAAGATGGTAGAAGAAAAGAATGAGTAGTTGAATAAGTTGTACTAATATTTAAATGTTAAGAACTTCAGTTGAAGATGTTCAAGTACAATAGGAAATGTAAATGTTAGTTAATACGTTGACGTACAAATAATTGTTGTTTCCCATTAATTTGAATTGAATTTCATTGTATCAAAGTGGTTGAATGAGATTTGTTTTATGTTTTATGTTTGTCAGCATTCAATGAAGTTGTTACCCAAGTATTAGAAGTTAGCATTCATGTTTGGTATTATTTGAACTATGGTCCTGAAGGTGTATTGAAGATATATTCCTTATTTTTCAATATCACTTTGTGACTTAGGGTGTATGTTTTGTTCATGATAGAGCATCCTTGTTGAAATTAAAGTTGTTTGGACATGATACTTAATAATTTAAGTTGAAAAACTTTATGTAGAAGTCAGTATACTATTACGATGTCGACAAGTGTACCGAATCGTATCAAGTAATAATAAAATGGTAAGACCAAGTAACGTTTCCCAAAGGACTCACAACACTAAACAATTATGTGATTACCCAACTAATTAGGACTTTTGAAGAACAATTCAGTGGTTTTGAATGCAAATGCTATAGAAATAAACATGAATGCAATTTTGACCAATTGAAAGAAAAACACAAAGATGAATGGATGATGTTGAAAACATGAGATGAATATGTTGTTGGGGTTTAGATTTCACCAAGTTCCCTCTCATGCATATATGAATTCATCTTCTTCATTAATGTTAATATCACTTTCTAAATTACTTAAATCTGATGTCTCGGCGAAGAAAGCATATCCTTAATTACTAGNTTGAGAACAATTTTTTACAACATTTTGACACAGTCACATGTCGCGTTGTCAATGGTCCATGTAGAAAAGAAAATAGAAAACGAAAATGATGTGGAAATGAAGGGTTGGAGGGGTTCAAGTGGCGAGTTTCATTTTGGGATTTCAAAAACAAAATATTACTTTGGGTTGGAGAGAACCCTAGAGAGAAGGAGCACCCATTAGAGTCTTCACAGTGAGCAAAACCGTCGTTTGACGGAGTTTTGACCATTCGTCGGACCAGTGTTGTTCTTCGAAGCACATTCCGCCGTTTGGAAGCATCGGCCACCGAAACCGCTGCCTTTCCACCGTTCCGCCGCCGTGGAATCGTTCCTTTCGCTAATCGTTTGTTGTTGTTTGGTGGGTTTTAGTTATATTATAATTTTTTTTACCATTCAGGGGTTCTTTTGTTTTAAGGGTCTTATTGAGATTTTTTTTAACCTTGTTAATGTAATGGAGGAACTTGGTCAACAGAGTGAAGCTTCTCATGAGTAAGGGATGGTAAT